TTGTTTACATGTCAAAATTTGGAACTGACTCCCTGTTTTTAATCCTGATCCAATGCCCATTAAAGACTCCCATTTAATTTAGGGGCTCTTTGTTCCTCAGATAACCTTGTTCCTCAGATAACCTTTGTTCCTCAGATAACCTTTTATGCAAAGCCTTTCAGATATTTGATCTGCACTACCTCAAACTAGTACAATTTCCCAATGTATTAAAAATATCTGAACTGTTTGATCTATTTCTAAACTATACTGGGTTAAGTGCTGTGTCTTTTTGTATGTTCAAAAACTGGGCACTAGGACACCCTACTCTGCACACTCAGCCACCGTCCCCAGCAGCTGGGTCCAGGGAGGCAGTACACATGGCAAGGTGAAGTATCGCCTCAGGCAGGCTCCTGCTCAAGAAACCACACACAGCATAGAGTCAAAAACCTAATGTAGCTAGCATCTACTGTGTACAAAATGGTTCCATCCTGCTCCCCACCTAGACTTGACTGCCAGGGAGAGCAACCAACTGTGCTTGGGGGGAGGCATAACAGAAGGACAGAGCTCCTCCCCGACCCTGCACAGGAAACCCTAACTGGGAAGATGGCAGCCCTGAGCTGGGCACAAGACAGTGGGGGTTGCTGGGTAGAGGAGACACATGGGGCAGTTACCTGTCCTCCCCTTTTGATTATGCCCCCCACTTAGGGCTACCAGGTAGACCCCCCCGCAAAATACCGGACACATTTGATTGTGGGCGGGGAAGGGACCGGCTGGGAGGGAGGCGGGGCTGGCCAGGAGGAAGGGAGAGGGAGGCAGGATGGGCACAAGACAGTGGGGGTTGCTGGGTAGAGGAGACACATGGGGCAGTTACCTGTCCTCCCCTTTTGATTATGCCCCCCACTTAGGGCTACCAGGTAGACCCCCCCGCAAAATACCGGACACATTTGATTGTGGGCGGGGAAGGGACCGGCTGGGAGGGAGGCGGGGCTGGCCAGGAGGAAGGGAGAGGGAGGCAGGACTGGCCGGGAGGAAGGGGAGTGGCGGGGGGGTTAGGGGCTGCGGGGCTGGCCAGGAGGAAAGGGGGCAGGAGGCAGGGCTCGTGGGGGCTACCGGGCTGGCTGGGAGGGAGGGGGGGGGGAGGC